AAGTCATTCCTACAAGTCTGGGATCACTGCCAACTTCTTAGCCATTTCAGTGATACTCTACTCATGTAGAAAGTACACAAGCTGACCTACATTTCACAAAGCACTTGGCTAAGAGCCCCTGACGCATCCCTTCAAACTTCCCACTGAGTACTCCTGAACACATAGAAGAGGATGAAGTTGGAATTGGCAGATTCTGGGAGGAACATGAACTCTATAGAAATAACCAAACTTGCCAAACTAAGCTTTCTCTCTGTTTCAGCTAGATTTGTACTTATTTCTGTTTTTCTCCACTAACTTGAGAAGTCCAAGTGACTGGAAGAGCACAAAGCCTTAACAGTGGTTGTCTTCATCTTTTTCTCTATTTTGCAGATTTTATGTGAGGAGCCTCATGTTGCTTTATAATGGAAAAATAGACTTTATTCAAAAGTAAAAATCTAGTTTCATTAGTGAATGGAATTATTAGGTGCAAATATTTCTGCTTATGAATGATATGAACCCTCTTTTTTTCTAAGACCTGATTTTATGTAAATCATTTCCAGTGTGGTTGGTGTTACTGACCCACTTGAGGTATATCTTCTCTTTCCAGAAGTTTCCGTTGATAGGTACATTTTTTTTGCCATGTTGTAACAGAGAAGAGTTTAACACTTATTCAGGCATGAAATATCTACTGAGTGTCTACCTACCCTGTGCTAGCTGCTGAGAGTACAGTGAGTAACTGAGGCATAGGCTCTGTTCTTAGGAAGTTTAAAACTTATTTGAAAACTGTTGAAAAAGCTGTCAAAGGCTCGGTGGGTGGGAACCTACAGTACAAGCATCCAGCCTGGTCAAGAGGAACAAGAAAGGTGTTCAGAGGAAGAATAGTATCAGAGTTAGCCAGAGGAGAGGTAAGCATTTGCCCTACAGAGTTGGACTAATCTATTTAAAAGTCTGGAGGTGAGCTCTGTTGGGGAACCAGAAATAGGCAAATACACTGACAATAGAGTTTGATGTTGGTGAGTGACAAGTGACAAAGGCTGGAATCAGTAGCTAGGTCATGAAAGACCTTGTAAACCAAGTAAAGGCATTCAAATTTTGTCCTATGGGTAATGGAAAGCCATTGGAGGGTGTATTCGTTCCCTAAGGTTACCATGACAAATTACCACCAACTTGATGGCTTAAAACAACAGAGATTTATTCTCTCAGAGTTTTAGAGATCAGAAGTCCAAAACCAGGTGTCAGCAGGGTTGGTTCCTCTGGAATCTCTGAGGGAGAATCTGCTTCATGACTGTCTCCTAGATTCTGGTGGCTGCTGGCAACTCTTGGCATCCCTCAGCCATAGGCTTCATAACTTCAGTCTCTGCCCCATATTCACATCTCTTTCTCCTGCGTCTTCTTCCCCCCGCCCCAGTCTCCTATAGTGATACTTACTGAAATTAGGGCCCACTCTAATCCAGGATGATCCCATCTTAAGATCCTACCCTGATTGCCTATGCAAAGAACTTGATTTCAAACAAGGTCACATTCTGAGATTCAGGGTGGACATGTCTTTTGGGGGACCATGATTTAGTCCACTATGGAGGGTTTTAGGAGAGGGCAGTTGAACAAGTCAGACTTGTATTTCAGAAGATCACTCTGGCTACTGTGTGGAGAAGGGACTTGAGGGGATAAGGCTGGGCCCATGGAGACCAGTGGGAGTCTGGGTAAAGGATGCTGGTGGCTTTGTTGGTAAGGAAGTGGAGATGAGTGTAGGAAATGCTCTGAAGGTGGTTGGCTTTGAAGGGGAAAAGAGAGAGGGCTATGGTTGAGGAGCACATAGTGGTCAGGAAGGGCTTTTAAAGGAAGGGAGATACTTGGTGCATTTTTAATGCAGATGAGAAAGATGGTGTATCTCCAAGGGAAAGAAGTTGAAAATACAGAAGTGAGGGGCAAAAAAAGCAAAGATAATTGTTTTGATGAAGGGGGGGGAGCGAGATGGGTCCAAAGCACAGAATGTGTATAAAGCAGCACATGCATCCCATATTGGACTGCTCCTACATAGTGTGACAGGTCTGTAAAGATGATGATGGTGATGCTGAGGGAGGTGGTTACTCCTGTTTGAGAACCCTCTATGTGCCAGGTGCCAGACTATTTTCCCTGTGTTACCTTAGTTATTCTTGGATATAGCTATGTTTATTATCTCCTTTCATTGCTTAGGAACCAGAAGCACAGAGAGGTTAAATAACTTACCCAAGGCCACACAGATAATAAGTGGTAGAGTACAGTTTTCTTCCAGGCAGTGTGACTGCTGAACCCATACCAGTGAGCACCGCTGTCTATGCTGCCTTGGAAGGGCAAGGGAATAATCGTTATGTGCACACTTTTTTTTTTTTCATGGTATATGTTGGTTTTGGTAGCAGGCACTATTATCATTTTTAAAGACCACAAAGCTATTATCTTATCTCTGATATTTTGTTTCATTTGTTCTTTTATTGGCTTGCCACTAGATAGATTTAGTTTTCTTTATCTTTTCATGGAGTTAGGACTGGTTGGATTCATCCTTTTTCTATTTATCTGGATGGTAGGGCAAGGTGAATATTATTCTTTCATATTATTAATGTTCATATTAAATCTGCCCAAGGGTTAAAGCTGCTCTTAGGAGATTAATTTTCATAAGCTTTTACATATACCCAACTTCCTTGAATAACTCCTATTGACACTTGTTTTGTAATCGCTTTCTCTATGCTACTTGATGTCTGGATTTCTTTAATTTTTTAAAATTGATTTTTGTAGAGAGGAAAGGATATATATATATATATATATATATATATATATATATATATATCCTATGTAATAAAAGGGTAATGTGCAAATTGACCATAACAGCAGAGCGACTGGGAATCATTGTTCACTATGACTCACACTGACCACCAGGGGGCAGACGCTCAATGCAGGAGCTTCCCCCGGTGGTCAGTGTACTCCCACAGGGGAAGCTCTGCTCAGCCACAAGCAAGGCTGATGGCTGCCAGTACAGTGGTGGTGGTGGGAGCCTCTCCTGCCTCCTCAGCAGCACTATGGATGTCCGACTGCAGCTAGGCCTGCTCCCCGCTGGCAAATGGACATCCTCCGAAGGCTCCCGAGCTGCCAGAGGGATGTCCGACTGCCAGCTTAGGCCCAATCCCCCGGGGAGTGGGCCTAAGCCAGCAGGTGGTTATCTCTCGAGGGGTCCCAGACTGTGAGAGGGCACAGGCTGGGCTGAGGGACCCTCCCGAGTGCACAAACTTTTGTGCACCGGGCCTCTAGTGTATATATATGTGTGTATATATATATATATATATAGAGAGAGAGAGAGAGAGAGAGAGAGAGAGAGAAAGAGAGAGAGAGCAAGAGAGAGCGAGAGAAATATCGATCCACTGTCTTCCTTACATGCTCCGACCGGGGAATCGAACCTGCAACCTGAGCATTTGCCCTGACAGGGGAATTGAACCTGCCACTTTTTGGTGTATAGGACAATGCTCCAACCAACTGAGCCATACTGGCCAGGGCAATGTCTGGTTTTCTTTACTGAATGTTGTCTAGGTTCAAATGTCATTTCCTTAGTGGAGTCTTTCTTCAGCCCCAAACTAGTTCTGGTCTCCCTGTTATATATGTCACATAGCTGAATACAATGGCTGGGAACCTAAGGCATATTGGATAATGTGGGAAACTGATATAGGGTTAAGCCTCGGACTGGCCTGCTGGCAAAGTCACAAACAAGTCCTAGCATTAGAGGGCACATTCCTCTTAGCATAATTAGGCTTGACCTTATAACACTCCCTAGATCTTATCTGGGAAAGCTAATGGGATGAGGAAGTGCAGGAAGTGTAACCATGGTCAAAACAAGTGAAACTCACAAGAACTGTGTAACTATGGTAATCACTACCTTGTTTACCTCTCACTATAAAAGCTTGGTGAGGCCTGAACACAGTGGAAGTCCTTCTCCCTGAGTTGGACTTGCTCGCCTGGTCCCCCATATTCCCAAATTATCTTGTGTCTTTTCTATTTCATTTGTGTGCGGCTCCACTTCCAGACCCGAACCCTGAACCACGCAGGACGTGGAGGGAAACACTTACGACAGGATAACACTTAATCAGGGTTATTTACTGCTTAGGATTTTTTTTTAACAAGGAGGAAGAGGATGATGGAATTTCATATTTCAAAATTCTAAAATATTAGCAGTCAAATATAATTCTAATTTCTTCTATGGATGTCATGGATTAGAAATTTTCTTGTCACCATAGATAATCATCATCGTCATATTGCATAGTTGGACTTGCAAACATATATCCAGGAAATGACTTTTGCTCCAATCACTAATATTGATGGATGTATATGTCTGAAAGTTTATCCTAAGTGATTATTTTTATTTTAAAAAATATATTTTTATTGATTTCAGAGAGGAAAGGTGAGGGAGAGAGAGATAGAAACATCAATGATGAGAGAGAATCATTGATCGGCTGCATCCTGCACTTCCCACACTGTGGATCGAGCCGCCATCCAAGCATGTGCCCTGACCAGGAATTGAACCTTGACCTCCTGGTTCATAGATTGATACTCAACCACTGAGCCATGCTGGCTGGGTCCAAGTGATTATTTTGTAAGCTTAGGCAGCTGTATTATTAAGAGACTTGCTTTTGTGACACTGGTCAACCATTAATAGCTCAGTACATTTGATGGATATCTCCTTAATAGTTTGCATGCTTGAAGTTGAGTATTAGGCTGACGACAGGAGTGACAAGAGGTGTATTCCAGGGAGAAGAAACCACATGTGCAAAGGTACGGAGGTCTGTCATCTGAGGAGCCATCCTTATAGAATGTACCTGGCAGTGGTCCTTATCCTTCTTCCTGTATACAGTCCTGGGGATGCCAGCCAGTCAGGACTTGTAGAGTATTTGACACACTCATTAGTAAACATAACAATTCTGAGTGAATCTGATCATGTGTTAGAACTAAAAGCTGGAGCACTTCATTGTGATGATATTTTTTCCTTTCTGTTCTCTTGCCAGTTCCTCTTGAGGCCATTGGCTTCTTGTCTGCAGTTGGGATCTTTATCATGCTTCTGGCCGTCCTGTTCCTCTTCATCAGCAAGAAGCTGTGTTTTGAAAAGATAGTTCTTCCATGCTTGGAGCAACAAGGCAAAAGAAAGCACTCTAAAGACCAGACTGGGATCCACGAAGGGCTGGGTAAGCAACGCGCTTCACATTCTCCTGAGCCTGACAACTGGCTGTGGTTTCGGTCAGGGGAGGAGGGTCACCATTTCCAGGATGAGCCCCATTAAGAAATCGCACATAAGCCGTTTGGCCGCCACTGTGGTGGATATGATAAATGGATGTTACTAAAGGATACATTAACTTTATGAAAGTAATGCTCTCCTTCGAGCCTGAAGAGCAGATGGGAAAAACCTGACCACCACTTCCTGTCTTCTTAGCTTTTTAGATGTCTGTGTTGAGTTTCCCTCTGACTGAAGCTTGAAGGAAAAAATGTTTTTTGATTGACAAGAGCCTTGATGTGTTTTGGTCTCATTAGGTTGGAACAGAGTTGACATTTCACTCCAGTTCGCTATTTCTGAGATTTTTGGTGCTCAGGACCACTCCTCACTTCAAAGGGAGGTTTCTACTCATTAAGTTCACTGAATCTACTGCATTATTTACTAGCAGCCTTCAGTTTGATGGGAGAGAATAACATAGTTAAAGAAATAATTGGCTTCCTACTCTTAAAGGACATGTTCTGTTTTCAATTGCTGAAGTGTAGAACTTTGTGATATAGGGTGTTATCACAGAGTAATGGTTATCAGCACATGCACGCTGGACATTCAAAGATAGTGCTGTTATCTTATAGGTAACAATTTTCTTTTTATATCAGTCTGATTCTTACAGGGTATGGGGCATGATGTAACTGGTGGAGGAATAATCTTTATATATATAATTTTTCTTATTATATATATATGTTTTTTGTTTGTTTTGTTTTTTTAATCCTCACCCAAGGATATTTTCCCATTGATTTCTATAGATAGTGGAAAGGAGAGGAGAGACAGAGAGAGAGAAACATTGATGTGAGAAAGACACATTGATTGGTTGCCTCTTGCACGTGCCCCTACCAGGGCCAGGGATTGAGCTTGCAAATGAGGTACATTATATTTTTGATCAGGGGCAAAATCTTGAGGAGAACACCCATTATGGATACTTCAGCTTTTTGCTTTGTTATAAGAAAAGACATAATTTAGGCATAAATGTGTATTCATTATCTATTGCTTCATAACAAATTACTCCCAAACCTGAAAGCTTAAAAAAAATTCATTATCTCTCAGTTTCTGAAGTTCAGGGATTGGGGATCACCTTAGTTGGGTGGTTCTAAATTGATACTTTTCATGAGGCTGCAGTTGGAATTTCTCCTGCAGTCATCTGGAGGCTCAACTGGGACTGGTGAACTCACTTCCAGGATGGCAGGAAGCTCCAGTTCCTGCCCACGTGGACCGGTCCACAGGGCTGCTGGGATGTAGTTATGACATGCAGCTGGCTTCCCCCACAGTGAGCCCTGCAAGAGAGGAGAGCAAGGAAGAAGCCACAGTTTATGATCTGGTCTGGGAAGTCAGACATTGTCACTCCTACCACATTCTATTCATTCACTAAGTACAGCCTACACTCAGGGGAAGGGGAATTAGGCTCCACTTTTGAAAGGAAGAGTATCAGAGAGCATGTGGACATATTAAAAAATTGCCATAGGGGACAATTACGGGAGGGGTGTAAGTCGAAGATCTGGTCATTGATTTGGCATCATTTTGAACTTTACCTGGGACGTCTGACTCATCTTCTGAAAATAGACTGGAATACTTTAAATAGAGTCTGTCGTGAAAATGGGACTTGCAAACGGTTTAGCCACTACTGTCCCATCTGGACAGGAGGATGAATAGACTTCTTTTTGGTCATGAGGTGGCATGGAGATAGGATTCTAGTGATTCTACTTTTCTTCCTGCAGCAGCTCCCTGTCACTGGTTGTGGTTACTTGGAAAATTATGGAACCTTTCCAAACTTCAGTTTTCTTATCTGCATATTGGGATTATTAATATAGCCCTTTTAGAGTTGATATAGATAAATGAACCAATTTTGTATAGATACCAGCATGATGCTATGGTGGAAGTCCTAATAGAGCTTTACCCATAGCTGTGCAGCATTAACAAAATACCAGTCACAGTAATGGCTTCTAGGAATGACGTCACATGAAACACTATTTAAATTGGGAGGTTAAAGTTGGTGATGTTTTCTCCTTTGCAAGCTATTATGGCTACAGATAACTAAGGTTAGAGCTATTTAAGACATTTGCCTTTTGTCTTGTTTGGCATGTTACAGTATTTTAAAGACAATTATGAATTATACTTGCAAATAAATTGAGGGTTGAAGGTAATGTTGAAACAATAACAATAAAGCACGACTCAGAAGCTGTTAGCTCAGGAAACACTGAAAAATCCATGTCTGAAAACTCAGAGTAGGGTCATAAAGGGGGCTTTAAAAAGAGTTTAACCAGGAGAATCTCCAGATTATAAGAAGCAAACACCTTCATTATGATTGACATTTCTCCTCTTAAAAGTTTAATTATCATTGATCAAAAGTCTTTGCAAAACATGTTTCTAACTTTTGATATTTGCCTTCATCCTCAGAGCACTTATTTCTCATATGATGTTCTTAACATATTTTGAGAAATGTTAAGAAGGAAGGCAGGCAGCCTGATGTGGTGGAGAGAAGTGCAGTGCAGACAGCCAGGGCTTAGCTCTGCCACTAATTGGCCATGATATTTAGGGCCTTAAGTCCTCATTTGCAAATCGATGAGTCTGTCTAGGCTTCTCCCAATTCCCATCATGCAATCCTATTTGATTCTTAGGGTTACTATAGAAATTTCTTCTCCAGGTCTCAGTTTATAAATGAAAGAGGCCTAATAAAAATAATTTAAAAAATCTTAGGTTGAACCATATAAAATTGCCATTTTTATAGATAAAAACTGGCTGACTATCAGAAACCTAATCATTATAATCTTACTAGAGGAGGCCTGGTGCACAAAATTTGTGCACTGGGGTGGGGGGGGGGGCGGTTCCTCAGCCTGGCATGCGCCCTCTCACAGACTGGGAGCCCTGGGGGATGTCTGACTGATGGCAGTTGGACATCCTTAGCGCTGCCTTAGAGGTGGGAGTGGTTCCCGCCACCACCACTGTACTCACCAGCCGTGAGCCCGGCTTCTGGCATTTGCCCTGACCAGCGACCTCCTGGTGTATGAGAGGATTCTTCATCTAACTGAGCCACACTGGCTGGGCTCAGATGAATTTTAAGTGGACCAAATATTTTGGAATAAAAAAGGCTTAATATTATGCTCCTTTTTTCCCTCCTAATAGGATGACTAAAACCTATAAGTGCCACTGAAATGCTATTTATACAATTTGCAAACTTTGGATTGCACAATAGTTTGTTTTAGAGTTGTAGACTGAGTAGTCTTTAGAAAGTTGAAATCTTCTACCCTCTACCTCTTCCCTACTTTGTATTTTTTTGTCTTGAAATAGTAGTGACCCTTCCTGAATGGCTCATATGAAAAACAACATCCAACTTGAGGGGTGGTACCTAGAGTGGAAACACATTTGTTAACACTCTATGTTGAAAAGCATTTGCTCTTCTGACTTTAATGCTTAATTGGCATAGAAAACACATTTTTCTACCTATATATTATATTAGGTTGAATTTTATGAAATCACTGTTTTTTTAGGTTAGAAGTTTCATATGGTTCGACCTATTGCATGAGATGAAAACTGAGAATTGAAGAACTGTAAAAAGTTGTTTGAGTAACAGGACAAGCCTTGATATCTCATTGTGCTGTCCAGTTACTTGTTCTGATGACTTGCTTAAGATATAAATAATTGAGAATACTTTCAGTGGGGCCTATCGAAGTATGACTAATTGAACCTAGTTTGATGAGTACAAATTTCAAAGAACTCAGTGGGAAGTTACTGGTTTTAGACTATTCATTTATCCACTGAGTATTATTTATTGAGAATCTGTGTTATGCTACATAGTGTATGAAATGCTGGAAATATGGATGAAGACAAACAAAAACAAAACTGAAAGAAAAGAGGCAAGTGAAGTAGTTCTAGGTTGCTATAAATGCTACGAGGACCTAAATTAAAATCTAATTGACAGAATGGGGAGATTTACCTTGGAGAAGTTTGAGCACATTTTGCTCATTGCTGGCAATATATAGAGAGATACACATACACATATATTATATTGGTTCTGTTTCTCTTAAAGAACAGTTACTAATACAGTTCCCAATGGCCTCTATAAGCATTTTAGTTACCCTACCATGTATATATGGAGAGAGAGACATAGAGGGGGGTGGAGGGAAAGAGGGAAGGAGGAGGATTATTTTAAGATATTAGTTTACTAGAAGCCTGTTGCATGAAGATTCGTGCAATAGGCCTTCCTTCCCCTGGCTGCTGGCACCGGTTTTCCTCTGGCATCCGGGACCCAGGCTTTTGGTCCGGCCACAGCAGAGAAGCCAAGCCTCTTCAGTCTTCAGTCTTCAGTCTTCACTCTGGCCGGAGCCTTCAGTCTTCACTCCATGTTTATGTATGCAAATTAACCTCCATCTTTATTGGGTTAATTTGCATAGTCGCTCTGATTGGCTGGTGGGCGTAGTGGAGCGACACCAATTTGCATGTTTCTCTTTTATTAGTGTAGATATGATTATGGAGGCTGCCAAGTCCAAAATTTACAGGGTAGGTCAATAGGCTAGAGACCACGGAAAAGCTAATGTTTCAGTTTAAGTCTGAAGGTCATTTGCCGACAGAAGTTCATCTTGCTCAGTGTAGGCCAGTCTTTGTTCTATTAGTCTTCAACTGATTGGATAAGGCCCACCCACATAATGGAGGGTAATCTGCTTTTCACAAAGTACACCATTTTAAATGTTAATCTCATCCACTAAAAACACCCTCACAGAATTCTCCAGAGCAATGTTTGATAAAATATCTGGGCTCTGTGGCCACCTTGACATCTTAAATAAACCACTACAGGAGCTTACTTAACATCTTGTTTGTGTTCTTATTTCCTTCAGTGTATTATGGTAAGGAGTTTGGGAAGAGATTTTCATTTATAAAATACTAGAGGCCTGTTGCACAAAGATTCATGCAATAGGCCTTCCTTCCCCT